AGTCCGGTTTGCGCAGGGCTGGAAGAAGAAATTCACGTCTTCCATCCCGGTCCTGGCTAGTTCTTTCAGACCGCGAACCCATTGACCAAAGTTCGATCCATCTGCCGCCAGGACACAATCCGGCTTCAGGTTGCTGATGATCGACAAAACTGTTGATGCCACGAGCTTGGTCTGCTTCAGGCGGAATTCGGCCAGTCGGAAGTCGCGTTCCTCTTCAGTTTCTTGGCGAGGTGTGTCAGGTGACAGATGAGAAGGAGGAATGGGATTTTGGGCGGGAAGGGAAGGAACAAGATGGGGTGGGAGAAGAACTTCTCGGTGTTGCAGATTGGACGGCGTTGTTCCGGATCCGAACTGGTTGGAGTTAACCGGTACGATCGGGCTGGGTTGGATGGTTTTGTCGCCCTGGTTAGTGCTTGTGCCAGTACCGCCGATAGAGTCGAAAAGGTTCGCCATGCGGGTTGCCCCGTCAGGCTGATAGTTCGGCTCATCATAGCCGTTCGAGTCGCGGGATTGAGTGGAGCTGGCAATACTGGTACGGTGTTTGCCTTTGCCTCCTGAGGTTGATGGGAGGCCGGGTGTCGACATTTTGAGGAGTTGGGGAAAGTGGGGAAAACGACAGGAGAAATGGGAGAAGGGGTGAGAGAGGAGAAGAAGGATTGAGGGAGATAAGTGGAGGGAAAGGATTTATGGGTGGGGCGGGTGAGAATCGGATGGGGAAGGGTGAGAAGCGGATGAGAGAGGGAAAAAATTGGGACAGGAGGGGAAAGAGGAGATGAAGGAAAATGTGAGTTGGAAAAAGGTGAAAGATATATGGGTGAGATGGTGGATGGACAAAAGACGAAGAAAAAAAATTGGGAAAAAACGGAAAAGAGTGACACAGAAACGAACAGAAAGAAGTGATAGGGAAAAAAAAGGAATCGCTGTCGGTCCCTCAACTGTACGGCGTTGGTGCTATGCCAATAACACCAACTTCCACAGATGGATAGTCTATGTAGCCCTTCAGAAAGAGTTGCAACTTTGATTATCAGACAAAAGGTAGGTCTGGTATAAGATTGAAGAAAACAAGATTATGTGAGAGAGAAAAATTTGAGTTTTTTGATCGATTGGGTTAAGGTGTGAGAAAAAAAATATTTGTCGGATCCCCTCGCTTGTTAGGCAAAAGGAGTAAGCGGATTAAGCTTCCAAGGCTTGGGTGAGGAGATATCTAGACCGGTGATTAGGCCAGTCTCAAGCACTATGATTAGTAGTGTTTGATAGAGGGAATGGAATCAGAGAAAACGGTGTCGGAGGGTTAATGCTTGATTAGAGCGCTAGGGGACTCATAACCTGTTCACTCCTCAAGGTGGAATCTCAGGGATGGAGAGAGAAGAGAGATAGATTCCATAGGGGTTCATCCTCGGACCTGGTCCAAGGTGAATGTATATAGGCTGCTGCGGCGAGTCTCAGGGTCCGTAACCCTTCTGGGTTACAACAATGGCCTCATGCAGGCTGGACTACATAGACCATACAACAGCATGTCAAGGAATCGTTCTTTTAGTCGTAAGACGCGGCTTACATTTCGCTGTGAAAGCAAGAGAACTGCTCATCGTGAAAACTTAAAACTTTTCAAACTTGTATGGTTTGATTGAATTATATGTTGACTGTAATACTACTCATAAGCTTCTCAGCCGCGCCGAAAGGGAAGTGAAGCAGTGAGTGAGTTAGGTTGACTTTTAGATGACCAGTGGCAGTTATTCCGTTGCCGCACTTGGGCATTGATCGCTGTCTCGTTGTCGCTCAGATGATGTTTTGAACATCAAGAATTCGGGAAAAAGAAGAGGTAAGTTGTATGTAGCTAGGATCGCAACAGTAGACATTTGATATGAGCACCAACACAGTCGTTTACAATTCCTTTGTATGAGTGTAGCTGAGACCGGGATGAAGCTTGTGAGGCACAATTATCGCATCTTGAAGAGTCTCAGGAGCTGGAAACCTGAGTTCCTGGAACTACCGCTGACTGGTGATCAAAGATCAAGGTTCAAGGGCAATATGGACGATGTAATGAACCCAGTAGAAAATCTGTTTGTCAAAAAAGTCTATGATCTCAGACAAGCACCCTATTCGTTCAAGGGATCCCGCCGGAATTTGCTAGTTCATGTTTCTGGAATCATATTTGAGACGCCGGAGCAAGAATGGCTCTCTTCTGTTATAGATATATTGGACGGAATTGGAGCCTTATGAAGTGGACAGGTGCAAATTCAAAGGTGAGATCAATAATCACTTGGTGGGGAACTCTTTCGTCTCTTTTCCAAAGTTTCAAATTCCATACAAAACAAGGATTCGAGATTTCTTGAGTAATGAAAGTCAGAGAAGATTGATACAATGGATCTTCACTAAGCCTCAAGGAGGACCCTACCTTGCAAGATATGAGGGGGCTTTGGCAGTGTCAGTCCCAAATGCTAGACAAAGAATGTCTTTCTTTGAAAAGAATGGTCATATGTGTTGCTAAGTATCACTGAAAGTTTTGCTTTCTACAGCTTTGGAGTTGGAAAGTTGGAAATGGATTGAATTCAATCGTCTGAAGGCTCAATTCACTTTTCATCCCGGTAACTCACAGCCGCTGCAATTCAATACAAACCAGATTTCTTGAATTAAGATCACCAGACAACAAGACTATGAAAGTGTCAAGGATTGAGAGTTTCTTCAGAAATTTATTCCACTGCATAGCCTCGCAGTTTGAGAGTGAGGAAGCTCTAGAAGATGAAAGGCTTCTTGAGTTCAAAATTCCGTATGACATGTCAAGCTTCATGCTGAGTTGTCACTATAAGAATTTCTCGACTGAGGTTGTGAAAGATATCAGGAAATTTGATTATTTTTCATGAAGTACAACTATTGATCATTGAAGCTGTTGGACTGTTTTCTAATATCATGCACCCAATTCACATACGGTTTTGATAGTTCTTCAGTGGAACCAAGGAATCTGGTCTGTTGAAAGAAGAAATTATTCAGCTCAAAAGAACATACAAATTCTCACATTTATTTACTGATTCAAATGAACAAAGAATAATTCCCAGCTTGGAATTTGAAGGTGACGAGAAGAGATACCTGTCAGATGAATCAAATTTTGAGGATTTCGAAATTGAAAAAGTCAACTTCACTTTAAACATACATAAGATCACACATTCCTGACAATTTGAAAATTACATCAAATAAGATTGATATTTCTATTGAGAAATGTGTTGACCAATTCAGGAATTACTTGCAAAAAAGAAGGATGCTGTCTCACCAAGAAGAATACATTAATAATCCAGTTCAGACAAATTTCTCATCAAATTGGAATTTGAAGGTGATGAGAAGAGAGACCTATCAAATGAATTAGATTTTGAGGATTTTGAAATTGAAAAAGTCAACTTCACTTTAAACATACATAAGATCACACATTCCTGACAATTTGAAAATTACATCAAATAAGATTGATATTTCTATCGAGAAATGTGTTGACCAATTCAGAAATTACTTGCAAAAAAGAAAAATACTGGTTCACCAAGAATACATTTATAATCCAGTTCAGACAAATTTCTCATCAAATGATAATTCAAAAGCTATCACAAAAACTCTTATTTTTGAAGTGAGGTTTTCTGAATCATTCAAAAAACTTGAAAATGTTGTTCAAGAAAATCTACTTCCACAGCACTAAAGAGGTGTGTAAGATTTTCTTCATTTCTTTTTTTGAAGGTGGGGATCTTAATTTAAGTTCTCATCTCAAGGATTTGCTGGTTTGAAAATATAGAAAGAAAAATCACAACTTTTCAACTGGGCTACAGACATACTTCAAACAAGGCAAAAAATTGAATCACAGAATAACTATCAGATTATAGAAAAGAAATAAAGCAGATAGGGGTGAATAAATTTGAAACAGAAAGCTGATCCATCAATTCACCAGGAAAAATGCATAATCAATTGACTGAAAGTGACATTGAGCAATAGTGGTTAATTTTGCCATTCTTCTGAAAAGCATCTGTCCCTCTTGTAATCCTGAAAGAATTCTTTATTCAAATGAAACCAAAGTCATTTGTGACATTCCAAGCAAGTCTTGACAAGGATTGAAAGATGAAGTAAATTAAATATTTTTACCCCCCCTTCAGCTAATTCTGATCCAGGCCTGCGGGTTTGGGTTTGGCGGTTAGCTTTCTCAACACTTGCAGGTATGTCCGGCTCTAATGCCAGATAGTAGATACCCAATGCATGTGGTGCTTCAAAATAAGGCATCCAAATGGGCTGGGATAGGTCCAAACTTCTGTTTTGTTGACCAAAGATTTCAAAAAGAAAAAGTTCCAACCCCCCAAAAAAACATGTTTCTGCCACAAAGGGCTGGTTTCTAAAGTATGTAGAGATCGATACCTGGTCTCTCCTAAGTGCATCTATCACCCGACCCGTCCCGGCATCCGGTCGGGTGGTGCGGGATGCTCCTGGCCCGGGTCGGAACCCTACCAACTGATTGCAATTTGTAACCGGTGGTACAGTTTGTTTTTGTTCAGCCAGCATTGCCCGTGACTCCCTGATCATGAGAAGCTGAGGCTGAATCAAGTTTTTTGAATCAGGTTGAGTCTGTGTACTGCACTACTGTGTCTACTGCACAACATTCTGCATTCCGCTAGACTATGAATGTGAAAAATCATAAGAAACAAAAAAATGAGATACAGTAGGATACAGCAAGCCCCGATTCTTCTGAGCATGTATGTCTAGTACATATGGATGTATTCCATTTCATTGGATCTCATTGCTGAGTTGCACAAGGTTGTACACCTGGTAGCATCTGGTCTTTTCGGCTCTTCGAAATTAAAACGTGGCTTCATCTCACATGAGGCTTTGCGTGTTCGGCAGAAGTTGATGTCCATTTCTTTGCCGAGTTCGCTTCACCACTTTTATTACACCCTATTTACACCACACCAACACTCCAGGCTACGTCGAGCGTATAAACAGCTGTTTTCCGATCTCACCGAGTTACTCAACAAGACAATCATTCCTCCTGTGGCCGAGCCCTTGAAAGCAGTTCATCCTATTATTTATTTTCTTCGACATTACATTCGTTAAAATGAATTATTTCATGATTCACATTCGGTGCATCTTCTTTATCTTTTGTTGCGTGCAGTTAGGCGTGTTGACAAGTTATCTCAAGACCTCTGGTTCCCAGAAATCTCCAGGAAGCAAAAACGGTGGCTCTTCAACAGGTAATAAATTTCAAATCACCGGTGGTGGCAATGCCACCCCCCAAGCGCCGAAGGATAACGATCAACTCAAATCCTGGTTGGCGGATAATGTCCCCCGAGTTATCTTAATCAAGACAACCTTTGACTTCACTTCGCCCAAAATCAACGCAACCGGTCCGGGATGGTAAGTAATTAAATTTCATCTTCCTCTGGGGGCAGTTTCCAGAATATTTAAAGAATGATTTTGACCATACTCGTAAAATTATTAGCGTACCATGGGCGTCTTGTCAGAATGGGAATCAAATTCAAGAGGCAAGAAATTTCAGTAAGCTGTATTTGCTCTCCAAAATGATATGATTGATAGTGCCAACTCGAGCCGATCGTATTTCCTGATCATCGCAGACAACTGGTGCTCAAAGTTCTACAGCACGCATAAGCCCTCCCAGGTACGCAAGTCACAGATGAATGAAAAATATCTTATTATCCGACGCTGATACCATCGTTTTGATTTGATCACCTTTGAAATCTCTCTAGGTGTCGTACCACCAAGCTGCTTTGGAGCCTTTGGTGGTTGGAAGTCAGAAGACAATCTTGGGTGTCGGTTCGTCTGGTGTTCTGCGTGGAAAAGGGTAAGTGAATTATGATCAAAACACATTCCATCAAAGCGAGTTTGCTAAAGATGCATATAATGTTTTTTGTACACTCTAGTTTGGTTTTACACAATTCTAATAATGTGATCATACGGGTAAAATCGTGTTTGGCTGCTTGAGTTCCTCAGGCAAAGTGGCTGACTCATCTCTGGGTTTAACAGAATATCGTTATCACTCAGCTAAATCCTCAGATTGTAAGCTTGCGAAGATCTAAAACGTCAAAATATAAGTCACGCGCTGACTTGGTGCGTATTTGGACAGGTCTGGGGAGGCGATGGAATAATGATGGATGGAGCTTCTAATGTAGGATTCAACGTGTATTTCCAAGTTAAAGCTTTTGTTGCTCATCCAGCAGAGTATGTTTCGTTCATTTCGTAGGTCTTGGTTGAACATTGTACTTTCAGCCTCATCGGTCGACAGATGATTGCGACCGGTGGGATGGCAAACTCGGAGGCCAACACCAACATTCTCCTTATGAACAACCTGTTCGATGGCCGCACTGATTGGTCGGCCCGTTGTCAAAAGTTTGCGCTTTCACTTTTCTGCTCGGTGATTTTTTATCGGACAAATTTACTAATATACCTGACATGTGGTATTTTTTTCCACTAGTCGGCATTACTGGACTGTTCTCATTTCTGGTCCTGGAGATACCGTCACGATGGCCAATAAGTTGAGCGACTTTATATTTCAATTTATATGCTCATGAGCATGCGTAGCTAACACATTCAATCATTTCTAGCTGCTTCGATTCCACTTCCGGTAGAAGTCCGAAAACTGGTGGGGCTGGTAACCCATGGGTCTTTGTTCACTAGTAAGCTGAACAGTTTTTGAAAAAATTTCAACGAAGAAAGTGAAATTACCGGTACCTTACCAATTTTTTTTTGTGAATAAAGTTATAACAACCTCCATACCAACACTATGTGAGTAAACAGAAACCTAAGTCACCTTTCAAATGCAATGCTTCAGGCTTATGAAACCTGATTCGATGCAGTGGCGAGACCTTTGAAATCGCCTCCGGAAGTACTTTCTTAGCTGAGGGAAATGTCATCAAGAACGCACACTTTGAAAATCCGGACGATCAACTGACTAACCATGGGGGCAACGGCTTCATTCCATTCCTCGATGCTGATGCTCAGGCGTGTCAGGGACCTTTGGGACGTCCATGTGTGAAGAACTTGATTCTTCAGTCTTCACCTTACAAGTTCGACGTCAGAACATCAGTCTTGAAAGCGTTTCAAGTAAGTTTTTAGCGATTCTAATTTTTTTCTCCAAAGCCCATCCTTTATAGAGATTGTTCGCTGACCTTAAAACCCGGTTGCACCTGATCTAGAAAAAGCCGCCCACTTATGTTGGAGCAATCAAACCGGCCTCTAGCATCGTCAACGGCGTTTCTGGTGGTTGTGGTGTTGGTCACATCTAAGAACAGTGTCGATCAAACTCTCAGATCAAACCTTTTGGTGAATGGCGAGTGAAAACTAGGAAATTGAACCCAGGGCCTGCTGATTTGAACGTTGTATATTAGTTGATCTTTCTTGGAATGCTGCCAGCAGCTCCCAGGAGTACAACGGTTTTGTTTTCATCAGGGTTTGATTGTTATCCAATTCATCCCACGTTTTCCACAATTAGTGGCTACTTGCTATTTTTCCTTTACCAAATCACTGTATTGTATACAGTGGAAATTGTTACAAATTGCAAATATTGATTAGCTGGAGCTAGGCCACCATTATGACGGAAAACCAAAGTGTAACAGTCTGAATTATTTGTCAAATTTCCATCTGTTTGCTCAGGTCTCAAGGTTTGATTTTAACAGGATTGACTGAGGAAAGGAAAATTTGAGCTTTGATAAGGGAAATGTACCCAAGATACTGGCTGAGAAAGCGTTCATGACCATTAACAACGGACAAGGAATGAGCACTACATCCAAAACCCACACCGTCCTCAGAAGATTCTCTGGTTGGCTTTCCAAATCAGAAAAGACTGGGATGCCTCATTTTTCATTATCACAAAAGACTCCTTCATTCATGATTTTGTTTTTTTCGACAGGTAGGGTTGCATGGAAAGGTAGGATTTTTCAAGTCAAATTGATATCTCAAGCAAATAAACACTTCTGATACTGAGGGACACTACTCCTCATGAAAAATTAACTCAACTTTGAAAGCTTTTACCTCGTGCTTTCTCGCCAACCAAAAGGTAAAGATAAGTCCCAGGTACCATCATGGAGTAGAAGAATGCTTCAATACTAAATTTTACCTTGGGAGACTTCATTTTTGATATGTATCTGATCATATCCAATCAAGATGAAGATGATCTCACAACTCATTTGCTGAAAATCATGAACTTCAGTGAGAATCCATACCAAATTGTAAGATTTTTGGCCATCCTATCTGTTAGCTCTATGGATATTTCTTGACGGATCACTCATTGGAGCCTATTTACTTAGACTGTGCTGCCCTTTCCAGTCCCAAAACGGTTGTGGTGCTGGTGCGACTTGCGTGACTCCGTGATGGATGATTGCCCACTGGGCTTCCGGGCCCCGGGGGAATACTCCCCAAGCAATCTCGGGGGATTCAGGTCGCGGACTCGCGAACCCATCGCATTCTACCTGAATTTCAGACGAGGTGGTTGCTGTCGATAACATGGTACGTCTCTTCAGCCTCATAGAAATTCAGATGAGTGAATAACTAATCAACATGTTGATTTTTTGGAACAGGTTCTGCACGTAGAAGAAGGAACCTGAATGAACGAATTGAGGAAAAAGGAGGACATTGAAAAATGCAGAGTCGAAAGAGGGAAACGTCGTGGAAACTAAGCTATCTGCTCGCAATTTGCTTGCGACTCACGATAGTCCTAACGTCCACCTCGTTCATCCACCCCGACGAACACTTTCAAAATACCGAGATAGCGATCGATGACGTGTTCAATCGGTCGAATCGTCAAACTCGAACTTGGGAATGGGATCCGCTGAGAATTTCAGACCGTACGATAGGAGGTGGACCAGTTAGAAGTATCGTTCCTGTTTGGATGACTAGTCATCTTGGGCTTCACGTCTTGAAACTTCTGCATAACATTGGTATGATTGGTTGAGTATTCAAATATCTTCTGTGTTATCTCTCCTTGTAACAGTCAGCCGTATTGAATTCTGATGAGGAATCTTTTCTGTCTTGTGTTTTGCGATCCACCGGTCATCGTGCGTAATTGACCTGTGATGGCTCTCTGATGGCAAACAATTCTTCGAATGCGAATTTTATGTCGATTCTCAGATATCTCCACGCGCTCACTAGTCATCTTTCCACGATTGGTACTCTTCTTTCTCTCACTTTTTGTGGATCGTCTGATATTCAGATTAGTCCACTCGCCGTCGATCCAACTACTCCACGCATTTTCATTACATTCACTGCTCTTTATCTGCCGAACATTTTCAAACTCACTAGAATCGATCCTATTTACCAGTCTTTTTCTTCTCTCATTGTCGATTTCCAATCTTAAAAACCGGGCCAGTCTTAGCTCCGTAATTGTTTGGACGTTGATGAATGTTTTCACAGTTTGGGTCCGAGTTAGTTATGTATGCTTCGCCTTTCCCATCGTCCTCATGGTCGGTTATACGCGTCTTTCTCGATCCTTCACGCTCTTCTTCACCGCCGGTGCAACCGGTTTGTTGGGCATGATGTTCTTAATTTTGCTCGATTGTCTCTATTTCGGGCGTTGGCCAACTGTAACTCCAATCGGTTTATTACTATATAACCTTGATAAACAAAACCTTGCGCAACATGGTACTCATCCTCGCTATCTCCATTTACTTGCCAATGGCCCTATTATTTTCGGTCCGGCACTTTGGCTCACTGGATGGAGCCAACTTTGGACGAGACACAAAGTCTCACCAACTATCGTGAAACGTGCGTCTTCAATTTCTCTTTCGGCTTGTGTTATCATCATTACCTTTTGCTGATATCACAAAAATCTCTTGGGGAGTATGTTTAGTGTCCACTGCTTCCTTGATATCAGGAACTTTACTGCTCTCCATTCAACCCCACCAGGAAGCCCGATTCCTCTTACCATTAGTTTTCCCTTTAACAACATTATGCTCTCAATCGATATCGAAATCACGATCGTCCAAATTCCGCAGAACGTTTTGGGTAAGACCAGACTGCGCGCCTTTCTCTGCCATTTTGCTGTCTAAGTGGTCTGTTCAAGCAACTAAAACCAATGATTTCCAGTTTGCCCATTTAATGCACTCAGCTATTACAGTCGTTTTGTTTGGATATTTACATCAAGGAGGACTTCAATCGGCCCTAGAGGTTTTACCACCGAACACGGAGACTTTGCTGAGTTACAAAACATTCGATATCCCGTCATCGCTGATCACAAGCACTCAGCTTAGAAATGTCACAAACCTACGTGGAGCGACGGAAGAAACGCTAGCCAAAACTTTATGTGAAATCGTCTCGATGGACGAGGAACGAAGGATCGTCCTACTTGCCCCAAGGTGGGCTCTTAGTCCTTCATTAGAACATCGATTTAAACTACTCTTCTCTTCCGCAATTCCTCATCTCGATCTCGATAGACTTCATGAAATCTTTCATGCTGGGCGCCATAGATCTGGAATCGGCCTTTATAGCATCCACCAACAAAATATGAAAGCTTCTGAGTTATGCCATTGAAAGATGGGCTCACATAGGTTTGTAAATATAAACGTTCTGAATGAAGTAGTTATAGTAACAAAACAGTTTATGCACTGTTATTTTTTTTGCGGGGTACTGCTTGAACATGCCTACACTACACATTTATTTATTTACAGTATTTGAGCAAAACTTATGAGTGTGACTGTGAATCTCGAAGGACATTTTTCTTGAGTTTGATGTTGTGAATCGTGCAATCCGGTTTGCCGTTAATTGAATGATGCCTATTTTTCTTTGTGACAAAGCAGGATGTTTTTCCGGTATAATCCAGGACTCCCTGTTGCCTAACTTGATCCAAGCCCTTCGTTTTGAGGGGCCGGGTATTGCCTGACTTGCCTCAAGTCCCCCTCTGAAAGATACACTTGCAAATATTATGATGACTGATCTTCTGTCAGAACTTGGAGACCTATGGTGAGAAATTTTTCCTCTTCCCTTTTTAATGTCTTCCTCTCAGACTGCATCCATGCCTTTCAGTACAAAGAATCGTTTGTTGTATGAGAAGCTGGATTTTCTTTTCAAGATTTATGTTTCCCTTTTCGATTTTAAACTTTTGGAGTAAAACAACACAGAGATATATCTATGATCTGATGGTGAGGATAAGCAACTCTCACAGGTAAGACATGTAATCTGCAACATCCTAAAAAGAGATCTTACAGGTTTGATGCATGGTGATAATGAAGCAGATAATAAAGTGTCTAAGAGCAACTCCACCGCGGGCGGTAAATCGGGTCGCTAGTTGGAATTTACAGACTCAACATGAGCCACCGCGGCCGCTATTTGTGTCCCAAATCTACGGCCGTCCCTAAATTTCGAGCCCGAGTCTCTACATGTAGGGACTCCTAGCGACTCCTCTATCGACCG